AAAAAAAAAACTAGCTATTGTTCAAATCCAGCTATGGTGAATGACACAGGCAATTCTGCTTCCCTACTGCCAACTGTGCGGAAGTGTTCATGCCGCTGAGATGATCACTAATCATGGGGAAAATATCGGTTCTCGGGGGAAAAAAACAAAAACATATTTGCTTGCAAAGAGAGGGAGGCAAGAGGATGGATAAAAGCAATAATCGTAAATTTAGCCTAGAGCTAAAAAAAAAAAGGCACTGAAGTACCTTACTTTCTCCCTCCCTGTGCCTCATTCTCTTCCTCTTTCTAACCATCTCTGCCCACTCTCTTCTCTTCTAATAGTTATGCAATGCTTTATGAAACTTCATATTCACTTGTTTTTCCATTGATTTGTTGGCCTTGCATTTGCAGTTTTCTAATTTCATACATATTTTATATAACAAATTACATTTTTATCAGCACACTACAATTTGAGTGAATAGAATGAACTGGCAAATTAAAATAAACATCCAATTACATCCGATTACTCACTCAGAGCCCACAAGATGTTAATAGATTAAAAACATTCACTTGCATTTAAAAAAAACACTTTTCTTTCACTTAGAAGAACTTATAAATCCTATATTTTTAATGTGGACCCCAACAACAAATGCACAACTACAGATGAGAAGGACAAAGAAAAAACTTGGGCACTCCAAATATTGTTACAAAGACTATAGTTGCACTACACGCTGACACTGCGTTCAGATCGAAGTGCACAGAGATGGGCAAAGACGCACACACTAAATCATTGATGGCTACTATCAAAGGCAGACCTGAATGGCAAAGATGGATAATGGATCTCTTATGGTCACTAAGAGCTGCATTATTTTAAGAGAAATTGCAGGATGTGCAGTTAAAAGGATATCTTTCTTACATGTGAGGTTGGTTTAGATCAGAAGCTCATGGAGGTGTTTTGTAATGCAGTGCCTTTGGCTTAATATGAAATGAGATGGGAGAATAGAGAGCGAGCGACAGACTGAAAGGGGAAAAAATCTGCTGCTTGAGGTCTGTTTTGATGTCACACATCTACATCACATCACCATGGCAACCTTGCATCAGCAACAACTTACGAAGGGAGAGAGCGAGGGAGCGAAAAAGGAGGGTGAGAGCACAATGTGCTGGCATGTAGAGCTGGAATGGAGTAGCAAGCTTAAACAGCAAGAGGGAAAAAAAGACCTTATGGAATTATAGAACGCTTTTGCCTGGACTATAAATAGATCGGTGGAAATTTTCCTTAAGACACAAAAAAAACAAAATATCGAAAACTGATTTAAAGGGCAAGATATCTGCAAAACTACAGCAAGTGCTGACATTTGTCAATGAAAAAGTCATGAATTAGTAGTCACCATTCACAGAAACCCAAAGAGAGATAGAAATACTTTAACAAAAGTCCACATTTTCCCACTGTTCTGAGCCCAGGGTCTAAAAATACACTGCGCAACAAGGAAAAAAAAACCCCACCAGGCTGCAGGCTGGGGAAGTATCTCTGACAGAAATGGGGAAGGGAGGGAGGTAGTGTGTGGGTGTCTGAGTGTTACATCTGCTCACTAACAACAGTTTATATGAATCTAGCAGTGCACACGGCTGAACAATGCATTAGATAATTTATTATACTTTAATGTCAATCATTTAAATGCCACGACCGGTGCAACTTCATCGGCCTCTCAGTATGCTATGGATATCACAAATATACCCACACATTGGCATGATGTGCTGGCCTCTCTTGACTTTAAAGGCAACCCCATACCCTACTCTTTACCTCGGTTTCTCTTATCGGTTTCATAGACAGCTTCAATTCTTCCTCTTCCGCTCTTCTCTTCCTCTGGCTTCAGCAGGAGTGGGAGGTGTTGCTAGGCGACAGGTTAGCTCCTTTCTTTCAAGAGGCAGAGTGAAGACCTTGATTCTCTCTGTGTAAAAATAAACAGCAGTGCAGAGAGAAAGAATCTTGAGATAGAGGACAAGCATACTTCAGCAGCACAAGAGGCCAATGACATTTTGTTTCTCATTGAAGTATTTTGTTGCAGCTCTTACTGTCGGCGCAGTTTGATTGCACTTACAAAACTCTTTCATGGAAAAGCAGAATTAAACTTGTACAGATGACTTTAGAATTACCTCAACTGAGTCCAAACATAAATATGTATTTTAATGCATGGCATGATGGGTAATTTAAAAATGCATTTTTACCGTAACGTTTTTATCTCGAAATTGCGTTCACACAAGTCTCATCTTGGGTTGAAAAGACTTTCACATTCTTGAGAATGAAAGATCTAATTGTAATGCGTGACGTAGCATTAAGTCTTCCTAGTAGAACTTGCGCTAAAAAAAAAAAAAAAAAAAAAAAAAAAAAAAAAAAAAAGGGAAACTTCTCCACTTCCTACATGGTTATTTTTGTCCACTGTGTGTAAAATCAGAGGAGGAGGCTTCAAGTGGGCACAGCCAACTCAGTCGTGCTCTCTGGGCACAGGCTAAATTACATCTTCCTGTTCCCAGGGACATCCTGCTAACAGAGGGATGTCATACTGGGCATTATCCGTTTACTCACATCCGGAAGGCACTAAACTATTATTTTTTGCCCTTAGATACACAGAAAATCTTGATTGTAATATAACGACCAAAAGCTTTTGAAGGCATTTTGTAAAGATGTTACATAGGTCTGACAGCAACTATTATAGAACATCCACTCAGAATCCTTTCTCACCTTTAACTTATGCGTGTGATTTTGAATTATGAAGGAAATGCAGTTAAAGACATACATTTCACCAAAAATAAATTTACTCACTAAATTTAGCCATCCAATAAGTAGAGGAGTTTGTTTCTTCATTGGAACAGATTTGGAGAAATTCAACATTACATCACTTGCTCTCCAAATGAAAGTTTCGATGAAACTTTTACATGTGCATTTGAATCCACTTTATGCACTGGATCCTAACAATAGGTGACCACCCATTTAACTGATCAGAATTTGCACTCAGTGGTGCTCATTGACTAAAGCCAATTTACCGGAAATGGGTGCTGAAGGAATCCACCTCAATAACAATGGTGTTCCAAATTGTACTGTCTCTGCTTTGAAGATATCAAACAGCAGAGGCAATTCATACAAACTATACCTTGAGAAAGCCACACAGAAAGCCTTGCATGCTTCAATGTTTCTGAATCACACTGTGGGCTTGCTAAACCGAAAAACCCACCAACTATTTTAAGAGGTGAAATTTGTTAACGGGTGGCCACTGCACGGTTTAATCACGGATGGTGCACTGCGATTACAAAGTATCAGTAGGGATCAGCCTGATCTATAATCAGCATCAGCTAATACATGATTCTGCCACGGAATATGAGTGCATCCTAATTAGTCTAGCAACTACAAGATGCCTTTTCTATCACATCAAAGGGAACTAAATGTAAAACTTTAATTCAATGAATCTTGCATTGAATTCAGACTTAATTAGTCAATAGTTTAGAGCTGACCAAACAGGACATTAACTCTGATAATGAGACGCTGAAGGCAAATTAAGGGCCCTGTGTACAGCAACACCCTCGGGATTCTTTTGTGTCTTCCTGTCTGATTTTCCCTCTACAATCACATTTGCACAAATTCTGTATAAATGTGATCAGAAGTTATTTTAAACATCTCTAATGTAAAGTCTGCTGAAAATAACATCTTAAACCAGTGTAAACCAGTATGCTGGTCTCCCATCCTGGTCAAGCTGGTCTGTTTGCTAGTTTAAGACGGGATTTGGACTGGAAGAACAGCTAGTCTATCCTGAGACCAACAAAAACCAACAAACCATTTTAGGCTTGTTTAAGAGATAGCCTATCACGGATCAGGGGCAGCGCCAGAGAATTTTGAATGCAGGTGCTGAGGGGGTGCTAGATCATTGACGGGGAGCTGGGCAATTAATAAATATGATCAAAATATGTTGTTATTATTATTATTAATAATAATAATAAATTAGCCTAAATCACCCATTCGATTTTGTAACGTTGTATTACCTGATTATTTGGCTCATCACAATTTAATTAATTTTTCGTTTTATGAAATTAAACAAGTAGCCTTTAGATCAGTCAGTTCTCAAAGATTTTTATACAGTCCACCTAAAATTCACGGAACAAGCATTTCGGAATGTGAGAAAAAGGCAATATGACATCAAAAAGCACTGGGGATATATTTACTTGGCATTTACAGTCTCAAACCAGAGCCTTCGCTCTCTGTGTATTGATGGCCAAATGTGCCAAGCTGCTGTTTCGGGCATCGCCACAGCTGCTTCTCAGATATATTGTAGGAGACAGGACAAAGATCTCTCACATGATCTCTCGTGGAAAGGAGTAGGGCTGCTATATGGCGGTTCGCTCTGACGTTAATTTAGATTAATATGCGCTATAGATGTGCATATCAAGTGTTTGAGAAGTGTGGGAGTATTATTGCGCTTACTGCATGACATGGAGGCGCCCGCGCAATCGCTTGCATTTTTTCCTGCGGAAAGAACTTAGAATAGGTTATGTTGTCATTTTTGGTCATAAGAGTAGCCTAATAGGCTACATCATTACAGCTTTTATTTATGTACACTCACAATAACACAAATGTTGAGCTTTTGTAAAATAGAGAAAAATAAACAGGATGCGCTTTCTGCCAGTCTCTGTGAAATGGAGCGCGTCACAACAATGAACCGCCTACTTGCCTGCTATTAAAGGCACGTTTAATACACAAGTTATACAGCACATTTTAAAATAAGTTTCCCTCTTTTTAGTATTAAAAAAATAATATATATATATATATATAAATGTCTACTATTGAACGAACCAATAATAAATATATATATATTCTCTAATTATGTAGTCCGTATAAAAATTTGCATTTCCATTACTGTGAAGATGACGAGTCCGCGTCGACATTCGGTAACTTCATCTTTGTAGTCGACACTCACTGAAAGCACTAGTTTATTAATAAATAATTAAAATGTCTTCTTTTGCCCGGGCACATTCATAATCATTAATTTTGCCGGTGCTTTGTGGCAATTAAACTTTATGCGCGCGCTTGAGCACAGAATATAGGCCTATATGCCTAAAGGATGGTTTAGTAGGTTATTATATTAATCAATTAAATATAAACGTGCGACTAGTTGACTAGAAAAATCTTTAGTCGGGGGCATGCAGGCCTACTTGGCACAAAGAACCGATCCATTTTTAAAATAAAACGCTATGACATTATGAAAAGTGCCACTGCAAATCACTTCACGCTGCATTGCACGAGTTATGCATGCGTTACGAGTCAAATGCTTTTATTTTATTGCATTTTTTGGAGGTGCTATGGGGGTGCTTTGGTCTTTCTTGGGGGTGCTGAAGAACCTGCTAGCCCCTCCCTAGCGCCAACCATGTCACGGATATATCACATAACCCACTGACAAGTAATATTCGACCCCCAATTACTCCTACTCAAATATCTATTTTTGACCACGAAACACAAATGTGTGATTAAAAAGACTAAATGTGTCGCCGAGGACGGCGAATCTTTTTGAGTGCGTTTGTCAGACACTAGCCATGGGCTATTTTTAGAAAAAGAGAGCCGATCAATTCACGCGCGCAACAGGTTTCGGAGACATGTGCGTGCCTCTGAGATGGACCGGTGAATGAGTGACGAACACGTTTCAATTCCGCCTAAATGAACATGTTTATGAAAATTAAACAGATATTCCTCTCCAGATGTGTATTTGATCGCTGCTGGTCAATTATCATGAATTAAAATAAACGCGTGATTTATTGCATCGTTGAATGACCTGCAGCAAGCCACAAGGATAACACTATGATAACTTTCCAAAAAGCACTGGAGTTTCTGCATGTTGCTAAAAATAGCTCACCTTCACTAAACAGGCTACTTCGCTTCCTCTTCAGAAAACGAAGACTCGAATGGCAGAACCGCAGCGAGGGCTGGAGTCTCTCTGCACGAGACTTCTATCTGTAACACCCTTCTATCTGTAACACCCGGCCGGCTTATCGGACATTATGGATTGAACAAACTGTCCAGAGAAAACGCAAAGAGGCGTCAGTAGAGCTTGTGATATGAGCAATTGTTTGACAGGTGTTTTAGGTTAATTAGGGGAGACCAGGGAGTGGTTTCAAGTTTAACACCAGTTTAACCAATTAAATGAGCTACATGGGTGAAATCACACATAGCCACCACCCAGAGGTGCAGTAGTTTAAAGCAAAATTTCATATGTGGTTTATAATTTGATTTGTGATCATAATTGACATTAGATGACAGAGAAATTGGACCGTGCAGACAACATTTGAGAGTTTTTAAGAGTCGGTAACCTATATTTTATGCATTGCTTTCAAATTTATTTGCGTTTTTTTAACATGTATATACGGTTTTCTTATGTGCTTACCATGTTGAATTAAAATGTATAAAATTAAATGGAGGCGATAAAATAATTATTTTAACAAGTTATCACATTATACTTTTGTAATTTGCAATGTATTATGTAATGCAGTTTGAACAAAATATATAACACTTCCCGATTACAGTGGGTATTTTGAGAGATAAGAATCACTCATGAACAAAATCCATTCAGTGAATTAGGCATGTTGGATAACCCTACCTGATGTCCATTTCATTCTTAAACTTATTGTCTCATTCAGACTGCCCTCGTCAGGAGCATCTCAAGTTCATAATGAAGCAACCAATTACGTGTCCCCTATTACATATTGCGCTGATAGATTCTGAGTGAGCCATTGGCTCTTCCCCACAATGTCGCCTTACGCACACAAACTCATAAGACATAACTAAGTGCTGCTGTCCTTGTCTATGCTCGCCCAATGTTCCCCTTATAAGGACAGAGAGAAAGCATTTAATAGTAATTAGGCAGAGATTTCTGTGTTCTCGGTTACCACATGCACTGCTGCGTTTAAAGTCATCATAAGCGCAGCGCATTGTCCCGCATGCTGTCAGAGCTACTACAATCTGCCATTTTGTGAATGTATATCCCTTAAAGGATTCATTCTGTGATCACACAGCTTGTCAGATGTGGAAACTGATGCAAATAACGCAGCGATGCGTGAAATTACAGCACTAATGTCAAGGATTGCATCCGTGCTTCCATGCAAACCCTTTCTGCACCCATGAACATTCTGTGCAAGACATTGGAATAGCCTACAACACAAAGATCATTTTCTGAATCATATCTGAACTCGGTCGGTTGGAGGTAATCAGCACTGCCACACAAGAGGATTCGGGGAGAGTGGTCCTCTATCTAGTTCGTATGCAGCTCAGAAACAGAGCCCCCCTTCTCTGTACACGTCTATACACCGGAGTGCGGTGACTCCGTCTACGTTTCACTCTCTGTCCCCGCCCATTGCTCGGTTTTGTCCAAATCGGGCTTTTTGCGTCGCCGGAGCTCCCGATTTCAAGCCAACGTCATCAACGGAGAGAGGGGATGCTGACGTCGGAGCAGAGTCAGAGCGCACGGGTTGGGAGGGGTAAGACGAGTGAGATTCAGCATTGCTTACACTGATATGAGACGTATAAATCCCCCCCGGCCCCCCTTTTACTCCATACCCCTCCCCTGCGCTCTTTTCTACGTCGGTGTTGGCGCGTTGGGAGCCCCCCTACACTGGTGAAACCTCAGCCTATATAAGTTACCGGCTTGCAATGTTACTCCACCAGATTTACGGACTCCGAATATCTGGGCGAGAGACGGCTTCAGCAGCAGCCGACTGACTCAATCTCCGACCCGGAGGAAAGATCCATCCAGCCTCCGGTCCGCAACCTGAGCCAGGCGCTGTGGCGGAACCGCGGGGGGAAACCCGGGACAAGCAGGCGAAAGGAGAAGAGCAGCCGTACTCTGGACATGTGCTGAGATGACACACCTGTGAACGCGCCTAAACTCTTTTGGGAAGGAGCCTCACACTTTTCTCCACTTGCACCGTAGTCTACAATTTCAGCGAAGCTCAGTAAGAGTCCTCAGCGTCAGTCACCACAATGTATCGGTCCACAAAAGGAGCGTCGAAAGCTCGAAGAGACCAGATAAACGCGGAGATTAGGAACCTGAAGGACTTGTTGCCCATCTCCGATGCGGACATGTCTCGTCTCTCCTATCTTCATATCATGTCGCTGGCTTGCATGTACACGAGAAAGTCTGTCTTCTTCAGTCAAGGTAAATATAATTTCTGTTGTTTTGGAAAAATAATCGAATAAAAGTCTTTTATGCAATCCTTAAAGCTTCATAGATCTGAAGTAGTGTTGAGGAATTGCTGCATGTTACGCTCTTATTGCCGCGAGTTGATGCAACAGGTGCATCTTGAATTTTTTAACACTCTCTGAGCTACTTATGCGTATAAAAATACGAATAGAGAACTATGTTTAAGATACAAAAGACATTTCTCTCCATGGTGCTGAAACACAAACGCTGTCCATGGTGCTGAAACTAAAATCGTGCTATCGCATTTGTGGATTTTCTTTTTTTTTTTTACTTTTCTTATGAATGAAATGTAATAGTTTATTCAGACTTAAAATTACTTCTTTCAGATACAGCTGCAGCTAGCAGTGCTGAGGAAACCGCGGAATTCCTCACATTTCATGAACTGAATGATTTGGAACAAATGATGCCAGGTTTTCTTCTGCTTTTGACTGGAGAAGGAAAGTTACTGTACCTGTCAGACAGCGTCTCTGAGCACCTCGGACACTCAATGGTGAGTGAAGCAGACAAAAAAGTTATTCTCATTAAATCTTTATAGACTTCCTCTGCCTTTCATCTGAAGTTATTTCAGCCTATTCATAAGCATTATGAATGAAAGAGGAAGTTCACCCACAGTGTATTCTTTTTTGAATATTTAGGTAGATTTGGTCGCTCAAGGGGACAGTGTGTATGACATAATAGACACTGCAGACCACTTTATTATGAGGAGTAACTTGGTGCCTCCAACTTCACCTGACACAGGTAAGATCTTAAAAAAATGCCACACAGATAGAGGAGAATACGTATGAGATATCTATGTGCTCATTATTTTCGTGCCTTTCCTCCTTAGATCGTCTGTTCCGCTGCAGATTCAACACCTCCAAATCAGTGCGTAGGCAGAGCGCAGGCAATAAGCTTGTTTTAATTCGAGCCCGCTGCCTGTCACAAACTCCCAATGAATCTTCCCAAGGATCCTATTGGACTTCCAACCCAGTGTGGATATGTTTCTGTGCTCCTCTGGAGCCTCACACTTCCCGAGGTGGAACTGCCCCAGACAGAGAACCACCTTCAGCTCCAGCACTAGAGAGCAGCTTCTTCCTGCCATGTTTCCGTTCTCAGCACAGCCGTGACATGAGACTTCAGGAAGCGCAAGACAGGTGAGGTTAAATGCCTTAAGTCATTTTATAAAACTGTTATATAATAATAACAATGTGCTTTGCAAAAATAAGAATTTTCTTACATTTTTCCTTTTTTGTTCAACTTGCAGTGTGAATGTTTATTTGGGTCTAAATGTGGAGACTCTGCGGTCCCAATCTTGGTACAGCTTCCTGCATCCTCAGGATCTTTCACATGCCTCAGCTCAGCACTGCAGCCTATGTGAGTCTCACTCCTGAATGACTAAACACACAAAACTCAGCCTCATTTGCTTGGTTAGGCCGAGCATGAGCACTCTTCTAGCTCACAGTTGCCTATAAACATTTGACACTTACAGAGAGCAATACAGAGTAATGGGCATCTGTAGTAAAAAAGCACTTCTGACCACCCACTAAGACATGACACAAAACCTCACAAGAAGTTGAAAATGTTTTAACTTACCCATCTTTTTACAACACACAGTGAAAGAGGGAGGAGAGGGCAGGGCTGAGATGGTGGTTCGTGTAGAGACTGCAGATCACTCATGGGTCTGGCTTTACATGGTCTTGCAGCTGGAAACTGGGGAAACCCCTATTGTCAGTAACAATTACATCATCAGGTAAGGCTCAGCCTACATCTGTAAAGTCAAGACTAACGCCTAAAACTGAAATAAGTAAGAGTATCATTAATTCTGTGTCTCTTTCTCTTTGCCACAGTGAGACAGAGGCTTGGTCAGTCAGGCAGCAGCTGAGCTCTGAACAAACCCAGCTCTCCTTGGTGCTGGGCTCAAGCACTTCCCAACAAGAAAGCCTAAGCTTACAGAGTCCAGAAACACTCTCAAGCCCTGACCAAGTGTTTACACCAGGAAGCAGTGGCCTCTCTGGTCAGTCATTTGACTTCAGCACGGCCACATGCAGTGCAGGATCTACTGAGGAACAAGGTGGCAGCTCCTCAATGGAGCCTGCACAACTGGAGAGTGGCCCACGTTCCAGTCTCTCCTCCTTGGAAGAGGAGAGCTTCTTCCAACATGAGCCCAGTGAAACTGTGGCCAGTCCTTCTTCTGCATCATCTCCCATTCCAGTCACGGTTGCAACAGTGTCTGACTTGGACTTCCTCACTCAGAATATTCTGCTGCCACCGGCATTCCAGATAGACCCTCCTCTACCAGCCTTGCCCCTTCCTCTTCCACCTGTGCCTACCTCTCAGGCCCAACAGCCCAAGGAGTTTGAGTGCACGCCCCCATACACACCTCAACTAGGTGGAAGCAATTTTCCCTTTGGGGAACCTCATTTTAGCTTCGATCCTACCGGGGCTACCTCACCACCTCCCCTTGCTCCAACTGCAACAGTAACAACGACGATGGCTCCATCTCTTTCTCCATCTGCGCCATCAAACCCACAAGGCAGCCCACCTCCTCCAACGACAACACTCTCAACTATTTTGCCTCTCACTATAACATCTCCAACCACAGAGATCCTCTTCCCAGTGGAGCCTTGCAGTGGGTCGCTCTATGAGAAACTCCCTCCTACTCCTGACAGTCCAGGTGATGGTGACTGCACGGTTATGACTTTACCAGAAGTCCGTGGTCCACTGTATGTTGACGTCCCCCATGGGCCGTTACCTTACCCACCAGAAGGTCTCCTCACACCTGAAGCCTCACCTGGAAAACAACCCAGTCTACCCTTCTTCTCCTCACTATGTGAGAGAGAAAAAGAGAGAACGGAGATCTCGCTTTTAGCCCAGCACATCAGCACACTAGTAGA